GATTTCACAGCTAAGGTTATTATGGACAAGCACAATCCTTATTTGCTGTTAGATCTCAATTTAGGTGTTTATACCAATAAAAGTGACTAAAGCTATTTTTAAGAAGACTTAAATTCATGATGGGCAACAGGTTTAAATAGCACAATTCTTTGTGTCTGCTGAAACCAAATTTCTGTTGTAGCTCATTGCTGCTCTGTTTATGATAGGAAAGAGTGTGTAATTGTGGATGGCTAATTTTAGTTGGCAAAGCAGTTTTTTAACGCTGTGGCTTGGTCAATACCATACTCATTTATAAACTATATTCTTAATGGGAAGCTTACATTTATTAAGCATGGCATTTTAACCTGCTCTGTAGTTCTACAAAAACATCTCTGAAAGTATTTTAACCAGTAACCTGATGGCAGGATCCTGGCACAACTTCTTAGCTGTCTCAGAGGAAGCTGTCCCTGAGGTGCTTCCCTTTCTGATGGGTCATGTAACATTTAACAAACCTGTGCTGGAGCAAGTCTCACACCAAATGGCAGGGATACAGCCTCAGTTTATGTGAAGAAACTGCATCTGCTGAGTATTTCTGTAAGGAGTAGTCCAAAACTGGTAGACATCAACTGAGAAATAAGTTGCTGTGCTGTGACTATGAAGAGAGCACAAAAGAGACATGGCAGATCAGAAGAGGGCAAAGGTGGCAGCTTCAGATTGAGGCAAGGAATGAAATGAGCTGGGACTCCTGGTTTGGTTTAAGCCTTGTTTTCCACCCCCAGCTGGGATTTGGACACCAGAAGAGCAGCATTTCCTGCAGTGCATAAGGAGAAGGTTGCAATTTGAGTTTTTTGGTACAGTTGTAGTACCAATGCTGCCAGAACTGGGCTCAGAAATATGACTATGGATGGGGTATCTTTAAAACAAGGAGAGATTTAATGATCACTTCTAAAGCTTCTAAAGCATTTTGAAAATGCACCTGGGTACAGAAGGAAAGCTGTCACATACTTCAGATCACAGCAGCAGCTGGTTATCAGTGATAATTATATTTTCAGGCTGGAATATCATATGATAGCTTAGTGAGCCTGGGAGAGTAGTGGGGTAGAGCTGTGTTACAAAGACTATGGGGCAAGGCATGGGTGCAGTTGTTGGGAATTGTGTTTCAAGTATACTTTATACCCCTGGTTTACTTTTAGGTCTTTTCTGCAGGATTCCAACTTGTGGAACTTTTCTTGTATCTCATATTTCCCTCAGAGGCTGCCTGCATAGTAGGGGCCTAGAACTGTGATCTGTAACTCAGATCTTGCCATCTTTTTCCTAATCCTGCTGGTAACCAAGCCAATATTTTCTTTCTCTTTACTCTATTAAAAATGTCTGATATTTTGGCATCCTCTCTCTCTTCCAGGCTATAAGTAGTATGGTTATGATTCTATTTAAACCACAGAGATGGGAAAATAGTTATTTTAAAAGCTGCAAGGACCAGATTTTTCACTTCTAGAAAAAATGAGCACAAGTTGTAGAATCAGTCGTATATGCGGGGGATGAAAACTCACCTTTGGGTGACCTGATGGTTTTATTTAGGCTTGGCTTATCAAGCAGTGCTGCTGTATTGAATGCCAGCCTCTGTGCAGAGGTATCCCCTGGCTCAGTGATGCCCTCACGAGATGGGTGAGTTGGTTCTTATCTGGTGAAGATAATGGGTGCTTTGCTATCACCCATCAGTGGCAGCCAGACTCAGCCTTGCTACAGCACAAGCATACCCAAAAAAAAAAAAATAAATTATCTGTATTCCATGCCTTTTACTTGCACACAGCTTTCAGGGCTGACTCAGGACTCCTGATATACTCTGAGGGCAAAATCAGTGCTGTTTGAAGTTCATGTTTGAAGTTAATTTTATATTTTAGGTACTTGTGATGTCAGTCAGATTATGATCCTGGCTGTGGTAGTACAAAAGAGAAGGAACTCCAGTTGCTTTAATTCAGGGTTTAGATAGGTGTTGTACAATAGGGCTTAATTCCAAAAGATGTGAAACTAAATATCAAGGACATGGCAGAAAATTAAGGAGTACTCCGTGCCAGCACACCAACAAACACCACTTTGCTGGCTGAGAGTGCATCAAGAAAGTAAGAAAAACCAGAAAGAAAAGCACCAGAAGATAAATATTCCTTCTAAAATCTGAGAAAATATAAGAAAGTTGCAAGGAAACAAAAAAAAAAAAGCATTTCCAAAGCACAGTGTTCACTTGTTCTCATAGCTGCCTTTAGTCTGCATATGGGGAAAGTGGGTCACAGAGATTAAATGCTTTGACCAAGATCAGAAGAAGGGGTGTCGGGGAGGATGAAAACCTGCTCTGGATTAAAAAAACAAAAAGAGAGAAATAGTGTTTGGGAGAATGGAATGAGCACAGGGAGAGATGGCTGCTGCTGTTGGGACTGTAAGGTGTGGCTGTAAATCCTCCATCCCACAAAAACCAGAGTGCTTTTGGTCTCACTCAGAAGTGCCAATGACTGGTATTAATAATTACTCCCATGTGTGAAGCTATTGCTGCTTGTACAAGTCCTGAGCTCTCTTCCAAAAACTCAGATGGTTTGAGCCCCTCTCCGCATCCCCACAGACTGAAACACAAAGCACTTCAGAAGGTTTGGTGGGCTGCACAGCAGTGGGGCTCTCCCAGCTCTTCCACTGACCTGTGCTTCACCAGAATGGACATTCAGTCTTCTCTCTACCCCTCCAGGCAGCTGCATGATAGTTTCCCATATTCTGGGCACCACAAGTGCTGAGTACCACAGGAAATACCAATATCATCTCCCCCAGAGATTCTTCACAGTCTGGCTCAGAGGTCACAGCATGCTGCTTCTGCATATCTGTGGTGAGGGATTGCAGTTGGGCTGAGAGCTGCTCCAGAAAAATCTTGGTTGCTGCTGGCATCTTCACTCACTCACCAGGTATTTAACACATTCCTTACAAGTGTTTCCAGTCAAAATCTTGAAGTCAGTGGAGGATTTTAGTGTAGACTTAAATGTCAGGCCAGCTTGAAAAATGGCACTGGTCGGAAAGATTTGGAAAGAGCTAGGAAAGGAACTGAAGCATTTGGCCTCAGTCAAATCATGTTGTTGGGTAAAGGTCTCGTTCAGTGGTCATGCTAGAGGCAGAGGATGAGCAGGGGATGCGAAGCCCATGAGCTGTCATCATTTCCTCTTCCAGTACCAGGTCTGCACAAAGGAGGCAAAGCTGCCTCCCAAAATGGTGTGAAGCCAGTAGCCTCAAGGAATAGGGCAGGAATTTGGCTTAGTCTGCACAAAGGAGGCAAAGCTGCCTCCCAAAATGGTGTGAAGCCAGTAGCCTCAAGGAATAGGGCAGGAATTTGGCTTAGTCTGATAGCAACAGTTCTTTCCTGAGGCTCTACCTGGATGTGGTACAGCTACATCTTCAGAAGGCTGCTCTGCCATATGCTGTATGCCTGTCCTGGGATACACTGTGCAGAGCTCAGAGAAGCACAAAGCTGGCATTTTCCCTCTCTTCCCAGAAAAGGATGTGGCTGGACCTGTGCCACTCACCCCACATGGTTAAGCACAGTCACCTGCACTTGCTCAGAATTGCCAACAAACCGCCCTGAGGGAAGTGGCTCCAGACAGAGCAACAGACACATATTGGCAGAGTACAATACTAAGTATCACTTCATTAGCTCAGGCTGCAGATTGGATCATTCCACACAGTATCAGAATACCCCAGAAACCTTATTAGATAGTTATGCTTCTAATCAAAAAATTATTAGAAACATGGCAGGGGGGCTGTTTTCTAATAGAGGTTTCCTAAAGTCATCATTTTTAGCACAGCTTCCTTTGTAGTTGCTCAAAACACTGCACAGGCTATAATTAACTCTATTGTGATAGGAACCAGAAAGCATTCCCCATGCTATGATGTTCTTATGATTCAGAATATTAAAAAATATATGACATATTGAAGAAATGCAGCCATCCGAGAAAGACCGTGAAGATGGTCTCCTAAAAGCTGGTGCTGAGTCATGCTGGGGTGGGGCTGTGCCTATGGATATCTTACCCCAAACCTCCTTTTATGCTGGTGACTTATGATGTCATATCATTCCTGAAGGACTTGTGTGGGGTAAATCCTTACTCATCCATCAGCTGCAGAACTGGTGACCGGGAGCTGATTTTCCAACTTGACATCTGTGGCACTCTGACTTTCCCTAGAGCTGCTGATGCTGAGCATCTCCCAGCCTAATTTCACTTGGTACAAGTCATTAACTGCCCCACACCTCGATGCTTTATCCCAAGAATGATTAGTTACTCACCTTTCTAAGGCAGAGAACCACTGATGGCAGGAGCATTATCACGGGTGAACAATCGCTGACTACACAAGCTTTCATCACTTTAAAGTCAAGCTCAGCCTTTCATGCAAGCTGTTGCATTTCTGTATTTCTATTCATGTTTGATGACCTCAGCACTTGCACTCTGTGTTTGATCTCAAGTCATGCATGGCTGTACTGAGGATGTATTTATTGGAAGGCCACTGTCTTCAGTGCCACATTTTTCTCGTCTGCCGTGACCAGGTTGATAGCACAAAGCACTTTGTGTGGGAGGCTTTCAAGTTCAAAGCTAGTCTTGCAAGGGCACAGGGAAGCTGTGAAGTCACAGCTAATTTTAGGCATCATCATGGCATTCATAGAGTAGGCAGAAATCAGGAGATTGCCCGGTGGAGAGAAAGCCCATCCTAAGGTTTCTGAATGTTATTTACTGGTATGTCATTAAAAAAATAATAAAAAAAAAAATCTCCTGTGTTTTTGTGAGGATGATTAACCATTGGAACAAATCATCCAGAGAAAAAAAAATGGATCTTCCATCTGTGAGACGTGCAGTGTGAGCCTGCGCGCCTGCCCACGGCACACCTGCCCCGAGCTCTGCCTGCCCAGCCAGGGTCCCTGCACCGGGGTCTGGGGCTCAGCCCCAGCACACAGGCAAGAAAAAGAAGTCAGAAACACCAGTAAACAGCACCAGAACCCTCTCTGTCTCAGGGTGATTCACTCCTTCCTTTTGCTAACTGTTTTACAACACCCATTTTATCATAGCATATAAACAGTGCTTGCTTCTCTCAGAAATTTTAGCGGAGGTAGAGCTAAAATGGCTTTGTCATTAAAGAGGGAAACACAGGAAGATTCAGAGGAAAGGCTGAAGTCTGGGTGTCTTCTGACAGTGAGAGATAGAGGAATGATTTAGTGGAATATTACCTCACTGCATCGAACCACTCAATCTGTCCCCATCTGTCACTGAGCACTTGCAGGAGGGTGCTGGAAAGGAAACTGTTGAGTAGCTTGATAGTCGAGTAAATCAACTGGGCTTTTTCCTTTTCCTTTCCTTTCCCTCTCTCATTAGGCTTTGCACATTCCCAGCAGGTGCCTCAGTGTGCTGTGCCAAGGGCAGGGGGACAGCCCTGGTGGCACAGGGCTGCAGTGGCCCTGGGGCACAGAGACCAGCTCTGGGTGCCCACAGGACCGAGCTGCCCCTGGGAGCCAGCTCCAGCAGAGCCCCAGGAGACACCTGGGTGTGCAGGAAGGCAGATGAAGAGGGAGTATGTTCAGCCAAGCTGCAGTGACTACAGGGGGAGAACATGGGCTCCTGAGCCAAGGAACCAGCAGCATCACAAGCAGAGGTAGAGCTGGAGCTGGGATGTGAAAGCAAGGAGGGACGTGGCTGGGCTGAGCATCACCCAAGGGTGCCTCAGCAGGGCCATGAGGGAGGCTGCAGAAACCAGGCTCTGCAGGACCTGCCACAGAGCTGCCAGTGGGGACAGGGCTCGGTGATGATCTTCCTCCCCAACAGATCCTAAATACTCAGCAAGACAGACCTTTACTTACTTTTTGTGCAATGTTTGTCTGTGCCTAAGTGCTGGTGTAAACCAAATCCAGATAGCTGAAGGCTCTGTTGCAATGTGTGGAAGGTTTTTTAGCAACTTTGGGGAGTTTAATGAAAGGGTGGGGAAGGGAGCTGGAATTATGACACCACCACAGTCAGGAAATTTTGCTGTTGGATTTGAAGTGTTGGGGGACCTTTCTGTCAAGGTTTCATCCATGTGAGAAAAGAAACTGGGGAGTTAAAAATTAGAAACCTACTAATTTTACAGGATGAGGTAAAACTTTTGGAAAGAGTGAGAATGTTGGCAGCTGCCTCACTGATGCCTTTCCCTGAGCTGACCCTTGTGGCCCCATAAAAGAGGTCAGAGGTGTGCTCTGCTGCCTGGGCTCCCATGTAGCCTGGAGGAGTAAATAAAGGGTGAATCCTGCACCCCCTGGAATTAATATCAGCTTTGCTGGTTTGCAAACTCCTCGCAGCAAGAGCCACATCTGCCCATTTGCAGTGAAAGCCCACAAATCTCTGCGTGAAATTACATGAGTGCACTCACACGTGCAAGAGAAAAAGGAAATAAAGAAGATGCAGCCCTGCTTGCTGGGCTGGAACCAGGCCATATTTTTAGTCTGCTTCTGCACTGCATTACTGCCTTGGGATTTACAAAGCCACATTATGCTTTAAAAACAGATTTAATCCTTTCTGTGTATTACGATGCTGTGGTGGAGGCAAGGCACCAGAGTTAGTGAGACCTGGTGGAATTCCCAGCCTTGGAAGAGATACAGCTGCCCAAGCAGTGTAGTGCAGAGCTCCACAGGGGTCCATGGCCCATCCTTCCTGTACCCTGTGCTGGGATGCAGTGCAGGGACAGCATTACATCCTGGCTAGCTGAGGCTGCAGCGATGCAGGAACACCCTGAGTACAGCACAGGCACTTGCTTTATATGGTCTGTGAGATCTGCAAACTTCTGGGGACAGGGAAATGCCTGTAACACGCTGATATCTGGTGCCACAGTACAATGGAGCATCAGTCTGGGGTGCTCTGGGCACTCCTGGCACACAATTAACATGCACAGAACTTCCCATGTTTTTCAGAGGAGACTTTCTGTCCTTTTGACATTGTGCTTGCCTTCATCTTCTGCCCCACTAAGCTGCTCACAGTCAGATTTCTGGGAAACCCCTGCCACAGGGAGATCTACACCTGTCCTCTGTGGTTATATTGCTCTTCCCTCCTCTCCTGCACTGTATTCCTTGTCACAAAACAAGCTGCCATCCATCCTCCTCCCTTTAGTGCACCAGGATTACTCAGCTTCAGCCTTTCCGAGCCCTGATGACCGGGCAGAGTGACCCAAAGGCTGCCACCATCCTCCAAGGCAGACGTGTCACATGTCATGCCAAATCATTGGAATGTGTCCTGCTGCACTGGGCTGGGTCTGCCTGCTCTCAAGACTCTCCTTGAGACACCACAGGTGATTTGCTGATGTGCATTAAACTCATCTCCATTCCTGTGCTCAGAATTATTGATCAGTCTAACGACTGTACCCCTGCTGGTTTGCCATTTCATATCTTTGTAACAGAGAAAGGCACATTGATTTAGCTGTTATCAAAATCCTCTTGCATTTGCACAGTCTATTCTCTTCTTGCAATTTTTTAATTCCTTCTGGAAAACACGTTACACATTGTCAAGATCAAATTCCTGAGACATCTTGTTTAAATCAAGGGATTCTTAGCACCTTCTGTTTCTTTTGAATATCCATCTGTGCAGAAACAAATCCCAGAGCTATGGGGGCAGGGGAGGCACTGGCAAGGACCTCAGTCTGGGGTCACACTTACTGGTATCATCCTTTGCTTTGGTGGATTGTCCTGATGAGGAAAATTAGCAAAGCACCCCTTGACATGGAATGTTATGTGATCATCAAACACACTTTGAGGTCACAGCAAGCATAATGTTTCCCACACCACAACGAACTAACAATACCAGCAATAATCACTTTTCTTACCTTAAAGTGCTCTCTGCAGAGGTATGGATTGTTCCCTTTTATCTTCTCAAACCTCATGATAACCTTCAGCCAGTTAACCTCCTTCCAGTTACTAGTTCTGTAAAACCAGGTTAGGGTGACCTGTTTCTTCTGCATGGACCCCTTCAGATTTGAAGTCCCCCCCTTGCCACACAACCAGAATAATTTACTTTTGTGTCACCTCGTCTCTCAAAGACTTGTAACACTGTTTTTTTGAAGTGGCAAGATTTCCCAGGGGTGAACTGTGGGCAGGGAGATGCAGATAAAAGCTGAGTTTCAGCTTGGGTTGCTGGTGCTCAGCAGCAGAGCCTTCCCTGCAATCCCCCAGGCTCACAGGTGTGTGCTGGCTCAGCCAGATGTGCACCCTCAAATCCCAAACACCTTGCTTCCCCTTTCCTAATAAGCATGTAATCAAATTAAGGCAGCAACTCATTATATGTGGTGGTGGCCTTTCCTGCAAGGCCTCTCTGCTAACCCAAAATCTGGCAAGAAACATGGAAATGCCTCGAGTGTGGTGGGATATCAACATTATTCTATAACATATCTGTAATATCAATATTCATATAACATTAAAAATTAATGCACACATTTCTATTAATAATGAAATTACTGCAATATTAATAAAGTTAAAACACACGTTGGCACAGATCTAAGTGCAGTGAATAAAGGGAAGTGTTTAAACCAGCCTCTCTCTTCACAAGCTGTGGGTATGGGGAGTGAGGCTTTTCCACTGCACCAAGGAGGTTCCAGGGCTGCACAAGTTCTATTTTCTCATCTGATTTCTCCTGCAAGAGCCTGTCCCCTTCCCCTCCTTCAAGGCAGGTGAGGAAGCTGTCCCTGGCCTGGGATAACTTCCAGGGTGATTCTGAGGCAAAATGAACAGCACAGGGGACTGCAGGAAACTTTTTGTGGCAGGGTTGGCTTGAGGCTGGCCACCTTTTGTGTGGGTCATCCTGAGTCATTTGCTGTGCTGCTCAAGACAAAAGCTGGCTCCAGGGAAAAGCAGAGGGGACTGCATGGCTATTCACATTTGGAAATGCTTGTGGTCACTGGTTTGCCAATTATGGTTGTAAGGCAAAGGCAAAGGGTGCCCTCCCAGCCCCTTCCATTGCAGACAGAAATTAAAGGGACTTTGCAGGTGTGCTTGGGAGAGAAAATCTCCCCTAGGGTGGGAGAAAAGATAATTGATTAGGGCAGAGTTTAGGAAATAATGGGGATGCAAAAGCTTAATCTTCCTTCCAGAATGATTCTCTCAAATCAACTAACCTCCATTGTGAGTGTCAGTTAATGGAAATTAAATTACTAAAAGGGGAATCGTAATAATTATTGCCAAGTGAATATAGTGGGGATGTAGGACAGTGAAGTTTTACCTTTATCTCTCTACATCAGCAGGGAAGGTGTGGAGCAGCCCCTCAAGGACGAGTATGGGATAATGCATCTCTCAAAGCTGCACAAATACCCTGTCCAGGAGTGTTTGCAGGACACAGGATCTTCCACCTACTATGAACTTTAAACTCATGTAACTGGGGCTGTTCTCATTACCCAGATAAATTCTTAATCCCACAAGTTAATTGGCACAAATTACAACTACGAAGTTGCTCTGCTCTTGTCTGATAAACTCTCTTAAGATTTCAGTTTGGCAGGTCTGAGGCAGTCCTTAGGTATAACTGTCCATCACCAAGATATAAACCAGGGTTTGTGCCTCCAGTGGAGTCACTGGTGAATTTTGGCAGCAGGAGAAGAGGAGCAGGGCTACAGTTTCCTGCTATGGTTCATCTTTTGTGCTCTGATTTTAAAAAATAGAGCAAGAGATGGGGCACAGACACATTTGGGCTGCTCCTGTTTTTCTTCTTGATTTTGTGTAAATTGAACTCCATGATATTGAGCTTATTTTATGGGAACAGACATGAACAGAAAAGCAACCCTCACACTTCCAGTGTGTTCCTCCTCTGCAAACCCAGAATTTGTGCACAGGGAGTTTGGGGAGCCCCCCCTTTTTAGTGACAATGGTAGAATCAGGCTTGGGGTTTGGTTTTAGTCCAGGTTATGGGAATTTCTGCAGTGCTGACATGTCACTTTGAACTCAATAAATGACATGGCCTTCCACCAACCCTTTGGGTTAGTGCTGAGCCCCTCTGAGAGTTCAGGTCTAATACAGGCACTTTGTACCTGATCACATTAATGCAAACCAGATGTGAAATTACCCTTTAGTGGCACCTCAGTCCTTTTTTTTTTTTGTGTCACCACTGCAAAGGGGCAGGCAAAATACAGAGGCACTAGAGTGGGTACCCTGGGGATGGGCTGTCTTCAGCCAGGAGGATAGAGTCTCTCTCAAGGCTTTTATTTCCCTAACATACACAGAATCCATGAGGACCTGGCAATAACTAGTCCAGTTATTCTTTTCTGTCTCCTGAGAAAGGTTGTGGAGCCCTGTAGAAGGTACCTGGTAACTCCCAGGGATGTTTCTCCTCTAAGTTTTACAGGTCTGGCCTTGGTACAGTGTGCTCACTTCTCCAACCCCCCCATCTCCATCAGCAGCAAAGCACTGATGGTTGAAAGGTGAACAACTTCACTTTTCCAGTTCCAGCATCTGTTTGCATGTCTGAGAGCAAGGAACATGCCACTCTCACACACAAACTATTCCAGCTGTGGAGACTGACAAGTAAATATGAAATCACACAGTATTTCATAGAAAACCCACAAATCTTATGTTTGTTGGGCTGAAGTTGATCCTTTGAGGCACAAGCCGAGGAAAACCTCTCCTATTATTTACACCAAGGTTCTTCCAAATTCTGAAACTGCAGTTTGGTTGAGGAGTTCATACCTTGTAAACTCCAGGTTTCCCAAGAAGCAGCCAGAGGCATGTAATCTTTTGCTAAGCTATGCATAAGGAGCTCTGATAGCTTGAGTGAATCAAACGTGGGATAAAAGATTACACTGAATAAAAATGAAAAACCACAATGACAAAATAATGTTATAATATTAAAATAAATCAAATCATACACTGCCATTATTCTGATACAGAATTTTTGCACAGCAAATTTGATACATATACAAGAAGTCAGGCAGCCTATTACAATTAACTTCAGGGTTCCTTCTTTCTTTAATAGAAACTACATCTTAATACATAGTTTGAGATGATCAGGTAGTTTTACACCAATTCAAGTAAAAACAACTTCTCATCTTAGAATACTAAAATAACAAACTCGTTTAATGCTCTGAATACTGAAATGCTTTGGTTCCTCCTGCCACTTTTTAAAAGTGTAACAACTACATCTATTGGTTAAACCTTTACCCTAGAGGTGAGCCTAACTTACAAATAAAATTATATTAATAAAGATACGAAATGCAACGTAAATACAGTTCTTTTGACAAAATTGTCAAATGCTTCACACTATACAGTTATCCAACTCTCAGTTCAATTCAGGTTTTCCCAAGTGTAAAGATGTGGCCAATTTTTTCAAAAACCGACAATAAACTTTGATTTTTTCATTCTGGGGTTAAACCAGAACCATGAAGCCCACAAAATGATTCAGGAATGGTCAAGCCCCTGCCCTCAGAAAGAGTTTTGCTCATCTCATCTAGTAGATGTTGTTTGGCTACCCCAAAATGAAAGCATCCTCCACTGCGAGTCCCTCCTGAAAACCTTGGCCGCAGCAGCAGCGTCTCATCTCCAGCCGATGTTGGTGAAGGGTTTCCCCTGGCAAGGACCCTTTGTTTTTTGTCACAATAACGAGAGAACGAAAATACTGAGTGGCTCTTTCTAACGCAGAGCAGTTCCTGCTAAAAAAAGACATCTTCTTTTCTGAAGTCCGGTAAGCACCTGAACCTGCTGTGAGGAGTCCGCAGGCAGGCCAGGCCCGGCAGGCACGGGCAGGTGTGGTGCGTCCGCCGCCCGGAGAAGGGCACCTGGGGACAAAGCAGGGACATCAGTGACTGGGAGAACCCTGGCACTGGTGGCACAAAGTGGGAGGAATAATGGGGATGTGGGGAATGCTGCCCATTCACAGCCAGAGGCCCCCAGCACAGAGCAGATGGCAAAGGCAGCCCCGCTGTACACCCACCCTGGTCCAGCCAGGGTTAAGAGCAGGATGTTAACAGTTGTGCTGCTGTGTAAATCTACATCTGTGATGACACATCTTCTCCACTTACTCCTGTTTCATAAAGGAGTTTGTTGTGAAACTACTCTGGCCTTTTACATCACGTTTTGTGGTGCCACTGTGCAGGGTTTTCTGTGTGTCCCGAGTCCTGCCCCATCACATGGCACAGGGCAGGACCTGGATCCCGTGGTAATCAGGCTGGAAGGGACCTCTGGAGGTCACCTTGCCTGACCTCCCTTTGAGCAGGATCTTTTTCACCACAGGGCAGAGGTTTCTCATTTCATCCCACCCTCCTCCAGCCACATTGTGCTGCAGGGAGAACATATGGAGTACATTAGACAAATTTAATTGTGCCATGACATGCACATGCACTGACACTCTTCAACTACTTGGTCACAAGCTCTGTCTCTTACAGGAGCCAAGCAGGACAGCCCTGTGGGAAGTGTCTGGGAGCTGTGGTGCTGCAGGCTGGCAGCACACTCAGAGCATCTCCTGGATGCAGCAAAGGAGGCACAGAGGTAAAAAGCCACTGCTACCAGCCAGGCAGGCAGCCCTAATTCCCTCACTTCCAGATTTCTGTGGGGTTGAAGCCTAAAATTTTAATATTCCAAGATTTTCTTGTGTCAGCATACAAATTTTGTCTTTAAGAAAGTCCCATGCAATCCTCCACACGTGGTGCCAAGCACCAGCCTGACTCCAGTGCCACCCTGTTGGGTGCAGGAGGTGGGCAGAGGGCTCACATCCCCTGCAGTGCCCTGGGCCAGCACCACCTGAAGAGCAGCCCCAGGGCAAGGGATGTTGTGGGTTTCCCCACAGCACTCCAGTGTGAGCAGACAGGAAACAACCACTCGTGCTGGGGACTCCCCATGGGAATGACCCCTTTGGGTGCCCACACACAGCACTGCAGTAAAACCCAAAGCTGAGCTCTCAGCCTTCCAAGAGCTCAGGTGATTTATTCAAAACATTCCACTTGCTGCAAGGAAAAGTTCCTTGCAGTGGGAATCTCCCTTGCCTGGCCCTGCCTCAGACCCAGCCTGGAAATTCCAGCTGGGACTGATGCTAATGGCATCAGTCCATCACCATCTAGTTGTTGAGAAGGAAACTAGAAGGTGGAACCCCAGCTGCCAGCCATCTCCCCCAGTTATCTCCTGGCTCTTCTGGATGTCCCCAAGGTGCCATGGCCATGCCTGCTTTTGACCTCTCCTGCAGGTAAATTAATGGTTTTGGTCATCAGGGCACCCAGCTGCTCCCTACACAATTCTTTAC